TTTAACCAAAAATGACTACAAAAATTTTAGTGCTTCGATTTTATTTTTGACAGACAATTCAGCAATTCGGATTCTATCAAATCCGAATTGAATCCACAATAGATTATATAAAGCTAGCTTTTAAGCACATTCTTAGATTCATTATTTAAATTCTTTGGCCAATTCGAGTAAAAAATCTCTGATCTGAATATCTGGATCGAAGGATCAATTTAGATTGTCGAATTTAGGATTGAAGCTTTATTAAATTTAATACAATTTTTTTAAGATACGAATTTAAATTATCTGAATTAGAAGTTTGAAAAGATACTGTATATAAGATTGTATTAAAGTACTAGAAATATAATATAAAGTACAGTATAACCTGTCAAAACCGATATGCATGGTGGACTAAATTTGTATCAGTTTTGACAGGTTATTAGGTTTGAAGAGTAAAATTACTATATTTAATTAAAAGATGGTGGATCAATTTTTTATCAGTTTTGACAAGTTATCAGTTTTGACAGTATTGGTTTTGACAGGTTATACTGTATTAAATTTTAGTAAATCTTAATTGCAATTGTTGATTATACCAATACACAAATCTATAAATAATATTTATATAAATAAAAACTATTCTATTATAAAAGCAATAATACTTTTTTATAAATTACTTTTACTTAAACAGAAATAATAAAAAAAACTTTCTTATAACAATATTTCAATAAACTATTAAATAACAATTTTTAGCTACAGTATAACCTGTCAAAACCTGATAACTTGTCAAAACTGATAAAAAATTGATTCACTATCTTAATTAAATATAGTAATTTTACTTTTCAAACCTAATAACCTATCAAAACTAATACAAATTTGGTTTATTATGCATATCGGTTTTAACAAGTTATATTATATTAAGTTATTTAATATCTTAATATATACTTATATATTTAAAAAAGATACAATTTTTAAAAAAAGATTACTAATATATAGGCCTTTGCAGTAGAAAGGGCCAAAACTCGGAAATATATAAATTTGAGATAATCATGTTTATCTTTTTTGGACTGATCTGGGTTCATCAAAAATTTTGTGATATAATTACTGTCAACTATGGATATAATAGACATCTTTACACTGAATTTATAGGTTTAACAGATTAAATTCAAGGTACCAAATTTTTAATAGATAATTTATAATGGGTATAATGGATTTAATAACAAAAATATCATATTATGGATAGCAGAACTTTTTGCCAGCCCACTTACTAATTTTATTAAGGTTTATTTATTTGTATAACAGGATATACTTGCAAAACAACCAGAGGAAATTAATCTTCCAATTAGTTACAGAATTACTTTTTGGTACTATCCAAATAGATATAGTTTATAATCCAAAAAATATATCTGCAACAACATTACAACTAATACCAAATACAATTAAAATACTGTAAATAGCTTCTTAAAAGCCTATTATACCAACTCTTGCCCAACTTTATATACTTAATCAAAAAGTAGGCAAAATAGCTTATTCTTATCTGCTAATCACCTACAACACAACAACAATTACATGTTATTATTTAGCCAAAACAGCAAAACAACAAACCTAGATTTGCTAGACTTTATATTAACAAACTCTAATCTAATAAAAATATTCCTACTTTTTAATTAAAACAAACCTATTTTAGAATAGCACCTCAAATATATCTAACCTTAGCACTAAACCAGAACCCTATACTAAATCAAGACTATTCTCAAGAAACTCTATATACAAATCCAACTACCTAACTACTATTGAACCTATTTTATATTTATAGCCAAGTACTTTGATTCTAATTATCTACAAAGAAAACTTCTACTCTCAAACTCTTAGCACTATAGAGTACCCAAATCATCTAAACAATAGCAAGCCAAAGCCAACCTTTTGACTCAAACTAGTAGAATACTGAAACTACTCAATGCACTTGAGATATAATTCAATTATATACCTTTCTTAATTACAAAGCTACTAGACAATCTACTTGTTTAAATTTAAACTTATTTATGGCAATATATATTAAATTTAACTACCTTGACATAGCCTTCTTCAAATTATTTACTTGTGATAAACAAACTACTTCTTCTTATCAAAAGGAATTTAAAACTCTATATAATATAGCTTTTGAAAAATACAAATATAAACACAATATCTAATTTATTAACAAAAATAATAGAAATTAGATAATATAAAAACTTAAAATCAAACTAGCAATCAATTATATATATTACCAATATTAACTTCATAAAAACTAACTCATATAATATTGTACAAAAGATTTATTACTATATCAACTTTGTCAAAATCAATATATCTATAAGCTTTAAGAATTTTTGAAAACTTATATAAACTATAAATGCAGAGTGTCTTAACCTTTTATTGGCTATACTTAATAAAATTCCCAATAATATTATATCTGACATTTTTCAAACTACCTATAAAAAAAACAAAGCACATATAAGCAATTATAGTATTATTATAAAAAATATATAGATTTAAAAAATTACTAAACAAATATTTTGTAAAGGCAAAACTAGAACTTTCTAGTAATCTTACTAAACTCCACTCTACTATCAAAGATTTATTCTCTATTACTAACCACTTAGTGCTTTCTCATCTGTTTGAATACTAAAAAAAGCTCAAAATATTGACAAAATACTATCTAACTACTTCTAACTACCAGATTCAAAACTACTGCTTCTACTCTTATTTTAACAATTACTTTATAATCTTTATTATTTATTTCTATACAGACCAAAAGATACAAATAATATCAAAAAATTTGTAAACCTTTTTTAGCTCTATTATAGCTTTAAAAAACTTCCTAATGATTATATCATCAAACTTTCCTGTCTACTATTTAATCTTAATACAATTAAAACTAAATACTCTTATACTTACTTAATACTAGATAAACTTCTAACAAAAAAATTTTTAGCTAAAATTCAAGGAAAATATAATTTTAATCTTTTTTTGCCAAAAGAATATATACTTATTAACCCTACTAACAAACCAGAACTATCTACAAACTTCTTTCTAATTATTCAAATAAACCTCACAACCCCAATTACCTTATCTAAACAACTTGTGAATATTGCTTAAAAACTAAAAAAAACTGCTATTATTTTACCAAAATACTCTTAAGCTAAATAAACATTCAATATAAAATAAGTTCAAGAGATTATAAAGACAAACCAACTTTGTCTCAAAATCTAGAAGAACTAAATTAACAACTTTAACAAATTAACCCAACTTTTGCCTCAGCTTTTTTATATTAAAATTATCTTATAGCAACTAAAAATATAAACAAACTTAAAGAGCATTTCAATTTTAATTTAGTACCAGATTATCTATTCAATCTACCTAGGGTTCCAAACCGGTTTTAAAATCTTCAACCATGACCCATTAGGTAAAACCGGTTAACAACCGGTTACCCGAAACTAAAACCGATTATCTAATTAAACTGGATTATCCGATTATAATCGAGTAATCCGGATACCTGATTATAATTGGGTAACCCAGATTTCTGATTATAATCGGGTGACCTGGATACCTGATTACTTGTGCTAAGCTATTCGTTGACCGATCTGTATAATAATTCATTATTAAACATTGATTTTATTCATTTATATTATTAGAGTTCTAAATAATCTAAATACCTGCTTAAGTTGATAAATAAAAATACATTTTAAAAAAAATAAAAAAATTATTTCACAAAAATATTGTTAAATGGTGATGGCACAAATACATAGTTACTGTAATCCAAATTTAATTTAATGTCTATTTTATTAATACTATCAGTAATGTTTTATGCAAATAAAATCTCAAGGTTCATAATTTATCTAATATATAATACATATATATCTCATTATAGTGAACTTGATATACCGGTAGTGCTATAGTGAGTAGCTATATTAAAAATTTTTTTAGCCCGATGGCTTCATTATAACAAGAGTCACTTATAGTTAAGTATGTAAATATAAAAGTAAATATTTTACTAGCATAATAAATAAAAATTACAGTAAAATATAAAATACTTACTTTGCAGCCTCATTTTATCAGTAAGCTTTTGGTACCCTTGTTTTTTGTTATACCATCTATATTGGCCAAACAAACCCAACAACAAATCATAAATAAGAAACCTTAAGTTTCATTATTAGATATATTCAGAGATAAAAACATTCGAAAAAAAAAAAGTGCAAATAAATAAAACCTAGAAAGTATTGAACAAGAGAACTGATTATTATAAATTAAATTAAAATAATAAATGTGACAGATCATAATAAGATCAGATCATAATGAAATTTAACATATTTTATATCTGATTTTTAAAATTTTTTGGGCCTTTTTTGTTAGGTTTTTTTTTATAGTTAAGTTAGGGTTTAGAGTAAGAATTATTAGAAAAAGAGTATAGGTGGATTTTGGTAGGGCTTATATGTTTAAATTGAGACCCCTAAATTTCACAATAATCTGATTTCATTATGATCTGCAACAATAAATGATATAAAATAAAAATTCTTACAAAGTGTGATTCAAGAAACCTGCTAATTCATCTGATAAAAGCTTAAACTCTATTATGTATATTTTGAAATTTTTTTAAACGTTATAACTAGCATTTTTCATTGTTATCAAATGCATTTTTTTTTTTTAGTTACTTTAATATTGATAAGATCATTAGAATATATCAATGATGTGATGAAGTTGCCTATTAATGCATCTCTAATAATTTACTAATTCTACAAATGCCTTTTTTTATAACGATAATCATCAGGTAAATCTATAGATAATTGCAATTCCTAATTCTTTCAGCCATGTACATATATATTGTTCGTATATTAGGCATTATTTATGCTGCAATTTCAGTAGAGATTTTTCTGGAATCCATATATTTCTAGATATATTGAAAATAATATCTATTCAACAAAACTGATTATTATATTTAAAAGGTAAAATTATAGCCTTATATGAATATTACCTATTACTGTTATTTCTTATAATTCATTTGGCCTAAAAATAGAAAAGTGCTGCTTATTGCGTTTAAGAAACATCATTCGTTCAACCATGTTGGAGTGAAGCTTATTATGCAATACTGTAATATGCAATCCAGTATCTGAAAACAAACGCTCAGAAGGGACCAACATAGCTAGAACTGATAGATATTTCCAAGCCAGATTTGATAGTATGGGAAATTTGTTTGCATTATCTCGCCACCATGTTAATGGATCATATTTTCTTCTTTGAATGGGCTTACAAATATAACGATCAACTTCATTCTCTTTAGTTACACTACTTAATTTTTCATTACTATATAAATCTAACATTAAATCATTAGATCTAGCAAATTCATCATCTCTTGGAATTTCTTCAATCAAAGGTTGGTGACATTCTTCCTCAAAACAGAGTCTTCGCACTGTATTAATTGTGGTTATCTTTATATCCTTATCATTAATAAAATTCATATTCTTTATTCGAGGGTCTAAAAACAATACAATAAGTCCAACTTCATCAGAAACTTCTCAATACTCTTTGAGAAAAAGATAACTTGCAGCCTTGACTATATCATATAACTCTATAGTAGTAACAGGTAGTTCTATTAAGTGACGATTTTTAAATCGTGGATCACTATATTGCTTAGATGTGGCTTTTTTATGTTTTTTTTTTTTTTCGTCCTTGAGATGCACGTAATAGTTGCCAAAGTTGCTCTAAAATAATTGGTGCCTCAAGCTCATATTCTAAATCTGATTCATCAGAATTTTCATCATTAATAACTAATTAACTTTGATCACTTATTTGTTCCATAGTTCCAAATAACAAATCTGTATAATCAGCTTCAGTTTGCCTATTAGAAGGCTTAAACTTTTTAATGAGTAGCTTCATTGTTGGATAAATGAGGTTGAACGTAAGATAATTGGAACCAGAAAATATTGTGATAGCTTCATAAAATAGCTTTATTAATATAATAAGATCATCCAATAATTGCCACTCATCTTCGGTTAAGTTTATTAGCTTCAAATATTCACTATCAAGTCAGTCACACCGTTCTACTTCAGATGGCAGCATAAGAACAAGATAATTGATTGCTTTTTTCAATTTCCTAAGTCAAACCCAGGCCAAGTATGAGGAATTCTACCTTGTTGATATATCATCAATTACTTGGTAAATTGTTGCATATCGACACTTTTCTTGTACATCATTAAGTCATTCGGTTTGCTTAGAGCTTTGGAAAAAAAAAAGAATCAGGTTTTTTGCTCGCTTAATTAATCGTGCTATAGATTTAAGACCTTTTAGTACACTTAACTGAAGCGTATGAGCAGAACAAGCTGAATGCATAATATTATTTATCAAACTAATTGCCTTTTTAATATTGTGACCATTGTTAGTCATAATGCAAAAAACTTTTCCAGTTAATCCCTATTCGAGGATAACTTGATTAAGCATACTTTTGATATTTTCAGCTATATGAGGTGACGAAATTGGTTGGATTATTAATAAAGCCTCTTTTAATATAAAATTTGAATCAATCCAAGTTGCTGTCACTCCAATGTATCCTTTATTCGTTCTTGAGCTCCATAGATCTGTAGTTAAATTAATAGATCTTCCATCTATATTCATTATGCCAAATAATTGATCACAACTTCAATCATAAGCTTGATGAATCATTTTTTTTGTGGTCACTTCGCAGAGAATCTGAAATCTAGGTTTCAAATTATTTAAAAGTCAACAAAAAGCTTGACAATGCAGAATATTCAATGGTTGGCAATCTTCGATAATAAATTCAACCAAATCTTGTGCCAATTTTTCTTGTCGACATTTGGTAATAATATGCAAGGCCTTGATAATTGAATTATCAGTATGTTCTCCATTATGATGATCTTTATCAATTCGATGCTTGGACCAGAGATGGCAAAGCATATTTCCAGTTGAAGAGTTATGTATATACTTTACTGTAATATTTTTTTCCTTACAAAGTTGACAAACATCAAAAAAGCCATCTTCTGTTTCTTCAGTTTTAAAATAGTCCTATGCGATACTAGAATTATCTCATTTCTTTCATTTTTTTTCTCTTTCATCAGGTTTATTATTTATAGAAGGTTCATTATTTATAGAAGGTTTATCATTTATAGAAGATTTATTATTTATAGAAGGTTCATTATTTATAGAAGGTTTATTATTTACAGACGGTTCTTCATTTCTAGGCAATTCTCCATATTGTAGAGAAAACATATCATCTTCGTGCATATAATCGGGCATCGTAAAGCCTAGGTTAATCTTTTAAAATGCAATTTATTATTATTTATATGGTAAGTATTCATGTTTAACTTAAAGGAATCATATCTGTTTATTAAACCTTTACTCTTATATGTATACTTTTTTTTTTTTGATGGTTAACAACTGGTAAGAGTACAACCGGTAAGAAAACAACAACTGGTAGACTATGACTGGTAGAATATGAACAGATAATTAGTGCTACGTAGCAAAACTACTAGAAGAGCTTTTATGGGTGTGCTTAAGACTAAGAACAAGCACTCTTAATCTGTCGTGTTCTTAGTAAACAAAGAAAATAATGCAAAAAAAAAATTTTTTTTATATAAATCCTTTTAAATATTAATTAATTACTAATATAGCATATGAGTATCATACTATAGTATGTATCGGTATCACATATTAGAACTTTTTCACTTAGGCTATACAAATTTATAGAATTGGTGTTCATAACACGGAATAGTAATTCGTGATGTGGGTGCACAGCACAAATCATTATTAATTACACACTATTATATTACAGCTATTTTCATAATTCCTGGAACATCTGATAAAATTAGCTGAATGAATTTTCAGCTGATTCGATTAAGTTTGTAATTTTGGCATAATAGATTCTATAAGTTATGTATATACGTAATTTACTGTAAGATCAGATGACTAATATAAATCATCTTTGCTAGAAAAAAATTTTAGAATGCGAAAAATTGCCAAACACTTAGGTGTTAGCATATCAGTTATAAGTCGAATTCTCAAGCACTTTCAAAGATATAGATGTATTAAAAAGCTTCCGTCACTTGCAGGAGAACCATGCTCATTGAATATAAATGATACAAAATATTTTTAAAACTTTAATGAAAAAAAAACCTAATTAGTCACTATAATATCATGCTGAAATTGCAAACTTAATCGAATCAGCTAAAAAATCATTCGGCAAATTTTTATCAAGTGTTCCAGGAATTATAAAAATAGCTGTAATCGCTAATTATTTATTAACTGGATATCCGGGTCAACTGAATATTTATTTATAATTGTTTATTAACCGGATACCCACTTATTATATTAAAAACCAGTTTGACAAAACTACAATCTGATTGGTAATTTTTCCAGTTCGGGTAATAGATTACATGGTTACCCGAGTGATGGGTTAGAACCCTAAATCTACCAGATCTACCAAAACCTAAATAGTCTACAGTATTTTTGATAACTATATTTTTTACATCTCTAACAAAATTACTATCTCATAACATTTTACTTAAACCACAATTTCTAAAAATCTCTCATCTAATTAATCAATAAACCTAATATGAATAATATATCTTTAGCTACTAATAACTTATTGTTAATAGCAATATTAACAACCAATTTATTAAACCCCAATACTACTTTAATATTCAACCCAAATACAAATACTAATACTTCAATTTTAACTTTTAACCACAATATACAAGGTTTAACCAGGACCTCAAATTCTAGTTATAGCTTAAGAAATACTATTAATATAATATATATATTGTATTTATGACCAAAACAAAACTACTGGCTTTAACAACAAACAACATATATTTGACTAATTTTTTATATAAATTCTACACATCTAACTATAACTTAACAAATACAAATATTAGAAAATTATCAAAAGATATAACAATCATACTTAAATCTAAACTGCAACTCTATATTCACAAAATAATTACTATACCTGGTTTTGCACTTTTAATCAATCTATTTCTATCTAAAAACAATAAAATTTAACTAATTTCAACTTATCTACTATTGGCTATATTAACTCAATTCCACATTGTACAATATAAAATCACTTCCTGGATAAGCAATAGTTGCTTTTGTAATATATATAATGTCAGGGATGATGCTGAAATTGGCTGATGCTGAAATTTAGAGTCCCCATTTAAATCTATAATATCTACTAAAATTCACATATACATTTTTACTAACAATACTAACCCTAAACCCTAACCTAACCCTAAAAAAAAACCCTAACAAAAAGACTCAAAAATTTTTTAAAATTTTATAATAAAATACAACAATATTAATATTGATTATCTTCTACTTAACAATATACTTTTTACAGAATGCAATAAAATCCTTAACCAAATACATAACCACTTCTTAGAATACTTTTCAAAAAAACCCTTATATCCAATTCTTTTAAAATTTACTCAACTTTATTAGCTAAATTCAGAACTTGAATTTCACTATAGTATAAAGACTTATTTCAAACAATTACAAACCAGAAATGGTTTAAAATAATCTCTAATCTCTCTAATCAAAAAGCAGTAGAGCTCTCTAAAATATACTATAAGTATATTAAATATGCTAGTCTTTTAGTACAAAATATTTTCAAATCTTTTATTAACAAATACTTGCAACTACAAGATATTTCAATATTATAGAAATGCTCCAACATCTTCCTTATCTCAAAAAAGTCTAATTAAAACTTTATACTTAATCAAGTTCAATCTATCTCTATTATCAAACTCTTTAAAAAAACCTTTACCAAAATTTTTACAAATTGTTTAGATAAAATAATTTCATCAAATAATCTTCTTTCTAGCCTAAACTTTGCAGTATTTAAAAACTTTTCCACACATATCCTAATTCAAATTCTACATAATACTATTGAATATTATATTTCTTATAACAAAGAGATATGGATATTATTTCAAGATATATTCAAAGCCTTTAACAAAATTAATATTCAATATTTAAAGAATGCTTGTCATATAATTAGCATTTCTACTATTGAAATTAATCTTATAACTAAACTACATACTTTCTACCAAGCCAGAGTTATAACAGCTTATAGTCTAACCTCACTAATTTAAATTAAATCTAGCATTAAACAAGAAAAAACCTACTTTTTTCTTCTATAGAAAATCTATTATGATTATATTTTTATTTATATTTTACAAAAATATAATAATTAATTTTTCAAAATTTTCTCTCTAACTTTACTTAAAACAATTTTAAATATACCTTCAACTACAATTACAATTTTACTACTAGCTTATATAGATGATACAGTGTAGCACTGTAAACACTCTAAAACCTTACAAAATATTCTTAATGATGTGTCTACTCTATACAAACTCAACAATATTGAAGTTAATCCAACCAAATCTGATCTACTTAATATTTCTTCTAAAAACTCCAGAACATCAAACTATATATTTCTTTATAACAATTAAACAATTATCACCAGAAAACCTGAAGATATAATTAGTTATCTAGGTATTTTTTATAATGGTAAAGGGTCAACCAAATCAACTCTAGATACACTATATAACAAAATAAAAAACTTTCTACTCTTGATTAGATATAAAAAATTACTATCTTCATAAATATCTTTACTGTTTAATCTTATACTTCAACTATTTTTTTTTTTTTTTTTCAGTGTTAAGATGACCTCTATAGCCGGGAGCTTTTTATTAGATAGTTAACAATGTTTACAATTATGATGAGGGTACAACTAGCCACACTTACAACTTTTGGTTGTCTATTTTAAGTGGTTCACCTGAGTTCTATACTAGCCGCCATGCCTGCAATCTAACTAAGAGATTACCTATTTAAGCTCTCTGATTTTTACAAGTGAAAGTACGACTAGCCATATATCTGCAACTTTTGGTTGCCTATTTAAGTAGTCTGCCTGAGGTTCCACACTAGCTGCCATACCTGCAACCCAACTAGGAGATTACCTATTTAATTCTTTGATCACAACTGGCCTGCCACCTCTTACCTAACCAAGGTGTAACTCACTATTTATAAGCTAGATTTTGCGACACCTATAGATTTCGCACCCAC